TCCCAATCACCAAACCTTACCTCATGGCCATTTTCAATGTCTCCTTCTCACGAATTTCCCCAAACCCCATTCAGAAATAACCAAGCACATACATGTATAGTCCTTTGCTGGGGCCTATGAAGTTTTCCTTTTCAATCTTTCTGGCTTTTCTCTCTAACCCACAGCCACTCCTCAAGGTCAAGGCTTCCTTATCACTAAACTGAAATATTGTCATCACCTACCTGTTCCTCCATTTTCTGACACTACAGAACTTCCCCTAATCTCCCATAGCCGAAAGTCATCTCTCTTTCCCCTACACGGTTAAACTGAAAAACTCCTTGAGAAGAAATATCTTTTAATGTTTACATCCTGTTTTGACCTTGGGTGAGCATCTTAGGATCCCCAGATTTCAGTATCCTCAGCAGTAAAAAGAAGTTTGACTACACAGCTGTTAAGATCCCTTCTAGTTTAACTCTATGATCCTTTTAAAAATGATATATATGACGCTGATGTAGAACTTTAAGGGTGGCAAAGCATCTTACACACATTGTCATCTGAATCTGTGAGGTAAGTGCTGTAGGTATTGTTATGCCCATTTTATATATGAGGAAGTAGAGGCCTTCAGAAAAAGATGCTGGAGACAGACTGGGGATGGAGGGGGTAGATAACACCTGAGGGAATCCTTTTCTTCTTTGGAAACATCCCCCGAGTTTCCTCTCCTCACCAGAATAGTACCCTTTGATGACTTTCTCTCTTCTGGTGGGGCCTTGATTTATCTTCTGCGGCTCAACCTATTATATTGCAAAAGAAGTAGGAGGGGCAATCTCTTTCAGAGTTTGACTGAAATACCCTGCTAGATGTCGCCCCTATACAAACCTGTCTCCTTAGTGCTGCTGCCCACAGGAAATCTTGGCTGCTTCCCCCCACTCCAGTCTAGCAGCAGTAGAGAGGTTGGGTCCAAGAAAATTGAGGGGAGGGGAGGGGAGGGGAGGGTGTAGAGGTGGGAGTACAGCCCTCCCTGGTCCTGATTTATAACTCTGCTCACTACAGTTTTATGATGCTTCCTTGTTAATTGGGAAACTGGGTCGAATTACCATTCTGCAATAGTAAATCATCATATAACACATGTGGGCACATGCTTCTTGACAAGAAAGAGAAAAAAAAAGTGGAAAATATGGGGGTAGGGGGCAGGGGCTGGAAAGAAATCACAGGATGTTTTCAGAACTGCTTCTCTGCATATCAGTCGCTAGAGGGTGCCCAAATGCATGTGTCGGCCCTGGGTTTCTGGGAGATTAGAGGAAATGTCCATCTAAATCTGACTGCTGATTGAAAAGGGTATATGGAGGTAGGGGCCGACGGGAGTGGTGGTCAACTTTTGATGAGAGCCCAAAATTTGAAGTACGAAGACCTATGAGTCAAACTGGCTCCTAATTAAGATCATAGTTTTGTTCATTTGTTACTTTAACAGTAACCATATAATCCACCCTCCCCTCCCACCCCCCCACCATTTTAACACTGAGAAACTGAGACTCAGGAAGGCCAACTGGTTTGTACAAGGTAACAAGCTCCAGAGGAAGCCAAATCCTCTAGATCCAGTGCTCTTTCCACTGTATCTCTTCTAGTTGGGGGCGGGGAAGGGGGGCAAGGTAGGGAAATTATCCTTCATAATCTTGGGTCCTTGGGAAATGTGAGGAGACTAAATGATTTCAGCTGGCCAGTCGGTTGTGTCTGTCTCTGGAGAAGGATGAGTGATTCCTCTCACAAGGCCTGGGTCCCTGGGCTGCATAGAAATGGGGAGGGGGAGGTCACCCCCTGCACAGGTGCTCACCGAATCTGACCCAACCAGTAAAGCAACAGGACGACAAACAAAACAAGCAAACAAACAAAAAACAGCAGAGCCTGGGCCTCACTCTGGGAGGGCACTGCTTCTGAGACCCCTCAGATCCGAGAACAAAACAGCCCTTTCCCTGGGACTGATGCAACTAGTTTCTAAGATACTGGGGGGTGAGGGTGAGGAGGGGATGTGGAGATCTCTGGTCTGGTGAGTTGCTGGCTACATCGGGCTCTTTTGACTAAAGCCCACAGTCACCACTGGGATAGGAACAGTTCCCTCCCACGAGTTAAAGAACCTTAAAATGAAGGAAAGCTGCTCTGGTGAAAGAAGACTCAAGTCCCAAGGTTCTGGCCTTTCTGATTTCTTAGGCGTGTAATCTTAGGTCAATCACTTCGCTTGTCTAGGATTTAGCCTTCTCATCTATAAAATGAAGGGGTTGAACTAGAATGTTTGCCAAGGTCCTATGTAGCTCTAACATTCATTGAACACAAGGACCTTGGAGATCCCCAAATGCCAATACTCTTATTTTTTACAGATAGGGAAACTGAGGCCCAGAAAAGGGAAGTGACAGAATCATAAAATATTAGGACGCATAGAGGCCTCAGAGATCACCTATTCTACCTATTCCCTTCAACAATATGTAAATGTAGAAATGTAGACCTAGGAAGGTGAAGTGATTTGTCTGAGACCACATAGAAATGTGGGGAGTCCTCTGACTCCAAATCCAGTACTTTAATTCTTCCACAATGCCCGTGATTGGCAGAATACCTATGAGGACACAATTGTGTCTTGTCTCTAATCCACAGCCCTTTCCACTACACCACACTGCCTTTCCTTTTCTGGGCTCCTCAAGCTTCCTGCAACTTATCTTTCCTTATTCCTAACCCTAGCTCCAACTCCACTTGCCAACTTTTGAATATCCTCAGTGGGCTCTTTTCACAAGGTCTGGTCAGCAGAATTGGAGAGAAAGATTAATCATACTTAGAGTAAGGGGAGGTGGGGATAAGTGGGGCCTGAGGCAGCATGAAGTCCACATTTAAAGAGAGCCTTTCAGAAGACCAGGCTCCCTCTCCTTGCTCCACTGCTCAAAATAAAGTTTTACTGTTTGCTGGCCTCCAGATTGGCCAGACTTAGGCCCACCCAAGTATTGGAAACCCACTTTCCTGTTCCCAGCCTTCTCCCAAGGTCCAAGATGGCTGAGGGATGCATTTTATCTGCTCCCCCAAAAAACCTGTGATACTGAGCTATGTGCTCTCCATTCCATAAGATGCTACCTGACAGTTGCCAAGAGGATCCCAGACTGTCAGAGCTGAGGGCTTCCTGGAAATCCTCTAATTAGAGCCCCCTATTTTGCAGATGGTTAAGATATAGATGGCTGAGGCCAAACAGAGGGAGAGGACCAGCCCTGTGTCACACAGGTAGGACCTGGAAGAGTCAGTATTAGAACAGTGCATTTTCCACTAGGAACAGAGCCTTTGACATCCAGCCCTGTGGAAGAATGGGTCCCATCCTGCCTCTGGCTACAATAGAATTCTGCAGCAATAATTCTTAGCCTGTGGTTCATGAACCATATACATATATACATATACATGTATATATGTAGATGCAAATGTGCACACACATCTATCAATAGATAAAGATTGATAGAGATTATATAGATGATGTGTATTAACTGCATTTCAGTGTATATTTGTAATTCTATGTGTTTGTTTCATATACTTGAAAACTTTATTCTTCGAAAGGGACTTTGGGCTTCCCCACCTGGTCAAAGGGACTCACGATACGTAAAAAGATTAAGAACCCTTTATCTAAGGGAAGAGCTCGTCAGGAGAAAGTCAGGATCTCAGAAACGTCGCCATCTCCATCCCCCCACCCTCCAATGCGACAGTTTAGGGCGAGTCTGTGAAGTGTAAGAAGTAGAGGGGCCACATCATTCTCTCTCCCCTACCCCCAGACTCTCTACTCCTCACAAGCAAACACCCTTTAAACGTCCAACGCGTGGAGCCGGCAAACTACGCCCCCTCCTCCCTGCTCCCCGTCCTGCCCCCCCCCTACTGAAGTGCCCCAGGCTCCGAAACCGGCTCCCCGCCTCCCTCAGATCCCGCTTGACTCCCCCGGAGCAGCTCGGGCCACTTCGCGTCCTTTGCTGTTTGGTTTGGGGTATTTATTTACTCTCCTTTTCCTCCTAAAGTTGGCTAAACTCGCCAATCTTTGGGCCGGCTGCGGCGGAGAGAGTTTTGGTCTTCTGGGCATGGTCCAACAATGTTAATAGAGGAAGGATGTAATAACATGCCACGGGCAATAAATCATGGTTAGCTGCTCCCCTCCCCCTCCTCTGGGTCCTCCCCACCACCCTGCCCCCCGCCCCTCTCCCCTCCCCTCCTCTCTCCCAGCCCCCAGCTCGCCCCCTCTATAGAGGAGAGAAGAGAGCGCGTAGAGGCGCACACGGCTGCTGGACTTTCACTCTTCTCTCGCCTGCTACCCCTTGAACACCTCGCAGCTTCGACCTCGGCTCCCCAACCAAGGACCATGGACGTGAAAGTGGTCGCCCTGGTGACCTTGCTGGTGGCAACACTTGCGCTCTCCGAGGGTAAGTGGGAGCCCCGTGCCCGTACCTCACGGGGGCACTCGGAGGCATCTCCCTGCCTTAGGGGATAGAAGCCCTGAGCCCCTGCCGTAAGTAGGCACACTCTTCCCCTCTGGTTACGGACAAGTTTAAATGGCCCAATGAAGGTAGAATTCTTGCCTTCAAACCCAGGTGAGCCCTAGCGCTTTACTACACCTTTGGGCAGAGTAGGTCCCCTCGGAGTGATGATTTTTCTACAAGTCTCGCTCATGGGGGAGCTGCAGATCTAAGCCTGAGTAGGTTGGGGGAGAAAACCAGGGAGAATTGTTTACTTTTCCAGGCAAGCTAAGGAGCTGCCCTCCTCTTCTTCCCGCCTGCTGCGGTGTCTCTACCAGCCTAGTTTCGCTTGCAGTTGGGCAAGGCTTGAGCACCCAGATTCGCAGAAACACCGTTTACCTTTTCCCTGTTTTCAACTCGGCGATTGGCTTGAGGACGCCTTAAATTAGGCTCCAGAGGGCAAGCGACTTTGCACTTAAAGCGAGACCCGCTCTCCTTTGCCGATGAGACGGCCAAGATACGAGTGGAAATTTTTCTCCCCTCTAACTGGAGACCACCATTCCTTCACGAGGGGGTCTAGCTCCTTCCACGTCTTTTCACGTTGGGGCTAGGAATTTACTTTGCTATGTAAACCCATCAGTAACCAGAGAGAGGGGGGAAAAACCGTTGAGCCGAGTAAGGAGAAAGAAACCTCGGGCCCTATTTCCCAGTTTTATTTTCTCCAAAGGAAAAAGAGAACAAAACTAAGCATATTGTAATTAAAAACAGTGACCTTCCCTCCTCTCCTCCTCTCTCGACCCCTCCTCCGACCGCAGGGATTTTTTTTTCACTTTCTACTTTAGAATAGCATCAGGCTGCACATGTGCGGGCTTTCCCCGGCTGCTTGCCTGCGGCTCCAGCTGCGGGCTCTGCTCCCAGCCCCGGCGTCCTTGCGCTGTAGAGATGTGCCCAGCAATTCTCTCCATTAGGTTCTACTTCGCCCAGGAGTTCCCTCTGCTAGGGACTCAGCTGAGGTCAGAAGTTCTGTCTACCAGGAGTCCAGCTGTGTTCAGGGGTTCCCTCTATGTAGGACTTTGCTTCACCGACACTTCTTGTTTCTCTGTGGGAGAACAGGCAAGGGCAGTGATCTGCAGAGATTTAGGGACGAAAGGGGAACTGAGTTAAAAATAACTCAGGCTAGGGTTAGGGCTCCTGGGGACTGACGAGGTCCCAAGGCACCTGGCAGAGGCTCTCCAGAAAGTGGTCTTCCTCTCTAGCACACTTTCCCCAGCTAGGGAAAACTGCCAGAAACCAGCTATATCTCTCGATATAAGGACCTGCTTGGTGCTGCGGTGATTTAGTCCAAACGAAGTACTCTAGGTCTCGCTTTCCCTTCCTCTCTCCTCCCCCCACCCCGTACCTCCACCCCCCCCCCCCGTGACCCTAGGGAAACAATGGAGGCGAGAGCCCGGGCTGAACAGCTGTTAGGATTGCACAACCTTTGAGCTGGAGAGCAAAACATGCCCCGCTAGCCTTCCCTTGCTAAATTTGCATTCTCTCTGAATCTCAAGATTGGATTATGATATTTGAGAAGATACGTATATAGGTTTGGGAGATGCAAGGTAACCAACTCCTTAATTTTATAAATAGGGAAAGTGAGGCCCCGGGAGGCGGAGTGGCTTGCCCGAAGTCACAGAACTATCCTAAGTAGCAGAGTCAGGCTTCGAACCGAAGACCTCTGACTTAAAGACGTAGTAGCAAAGAAGGATAGATTTGGATTCAGAGGACCCCTGCCTCTGTTCTTTACTATCTGTGTGACCTTTGGTAAATTACTTCATCTCTGTAGGCCTCAGTTTCCCTATCTGTAAAACAAGGGAGGGTTGAACTGTATGCCCTTGGACGGCCCCTTTCAGCTCCCAATGTAGTACTCAGCGATACTCCGTAAACTGCACCACGCGGTGGAAGCGCCAGCTTTCACTGAAGGATGATTTCCTTCCCTTGGCGTACCCTGCTCCGCGTCAGTAAACGAGCAAGAGCGCTGTGATGAGCTGCCAAGGAAAACGCTCGAGCGAGCGCGCGCGCCCTTAGTAAGAGCCTGACAGCGTATGCACCAACTATTCCAGTAATCCCCGGGAGCGACCAAAGGCTTCCCAGGCAGAGCCCCGGCTCCAAAAAATCCGAGAGCACTCCCTTCCCCCCTCTTCACTCCCCCCAACCCCATTCTCCTGCAGAAACACACCTGCGGATACAGGCTCTTTTGTAATGGAGGCAAGGGCTCCCTGGCTATTTTTAACGGGTGGCACTTGAAAGTTTAATCTCCTAGACATTCGGCAGTTGAGAACCTCGGTGTCCGGTTTCATAGTGTGTAAAGCGAGAAAGAGAGAGCAGGGAAAAGAGAAGAGAGGGGAAACCGAGAGGCGGCAGGGAGAGATTGGATTGCCTTTCTCAAGATTGAGTTCAGAGAAAACTCAATTGGACCAACCAAAGTACCCTGAGCGCTTGTCAGTTCTCTGAAAGAAAAAAAAATATCTTAAAAACAACGAACTCAGGATTTGGGAAAATACTTATTTCTGTTTAGTCTTGTTATGTCAGTGGAGTGCCTCCAGATTCGAAAGCACAAAATGGGGCGGGGGCTCTGAGTGTTTTGGTTTTGGTTTGTTTTACCCCCACCCCCACCACTACGGGAATCATTCTAGTCGCCGTAAACCAGTGCTCCCAAAAGAGATAAGAGTTGGTGAAAGCAGCTGGAGAAGGTAACTGACAAGTTCGAACTACCAGGACTACCCTGGCGAGTTACTGATAATAGTGCAAAGTGACCACACAGGAGAAAAAATGCCCGAGTTAATCTTCATTCCGTTATCCTTCTTACCTCCCGAAAGAATTGCCCGGGGGAGCGGGGGGGGGGGGGCGGATTTTTAGCTCTACGCACCTAGCTCGAATTCCATAAATACTGTGGTCCATTTGTTGATTCCAGAAATGTAGGACCGCTGGCTGATGGGCACCGTTCTTAATTTTAAATGAGGAAAAACATAGTTTGAAAAATTGTCATAAATATACTCCAAAATTACCCCTCTTCCCATCCTAATTCCTCCAAAATTTAACCAAACAGGGTAAATTTATTAAACGCCTACGATGTGCCAGGTACTGCGTTAGGGAAAGACATACGAAAGCAAAATGAGGTACCTACACTTCTGAAATTCAGTTCAACGTTCGCAGTGGTTGCATATGCATAGTTTGGGGTTATTAAGAATTTGGGGGGAAGGGTGGGACAAGAGGCCGATCCTGGCCATCCAAACGAATGATAACTCTACAACAACTTTCTTTCTTCATGTCACCTACCCTTTTCCTTCTTCACGCAAATCGCACAGCTCGGAGTTGCACACATTGCTTAGAGCCTGGAGACAATTTCGCTTATATTTTGGCTACGTTGGCTCAGATTTTCTGCCCCGTGGTAGAGTCACCAGCTCTTGTGCATTTGCCTAAAGCTCTGTCTACTTGCTGCACAAGGTCTCTCCTGGGGGTGTTAGGCGTTACCCTATTCCATATGGGACTGAGAAATTCTGCTATGTCATACATACCCAGCAGTAATCCCGTGATTCTCAACAATGAATGCCGGAGTCGGGAGACCTGGGTTCATAAGGTAGTTCTCAGGGACGAGATTTGCAAGCCTAATAAAAAGCGCTACACAAATACCCCTCCCCCTTTGCTTCCTCCCCATGCACACCGTAGCACCTAGTCTTGTGTAAGACAAGATGTTCAATTAAGATTTAGATTCCGAGTTAAACTGATGGAAACCTAGGAGATCTGGATATCTATCTCCACCCTGACCCCCATGACCCCTCCCCTCCAAGTAGCGTAGTGGAACAAACCTGAGTCAGAAGAGACTTAGGTTTGAATTCCCTCCTCTGTTACTTGTCAGTTGTGTGGACAAGAGTTAAGCGATCTAATTTCCTATAAAATAAGGATAATAACACCTGAGGTACTAACAGAGCTGTTGTGTTGAGACGCTGGTAAAATACTATGGAGTAGTAAGTGTCAGGAATAGATGAAGAAAATTGGGATCAGAGCAGTTTAGTGACTGCTCTAAAGCCAGGCCAGTTAATGAAAGGTTCTGAAATTGGATCCAGGGCTGCTGATTGATTTATTATTATATTTTTTATATAAGAGAAGCAAATCGGTATTATTTGTTTATAGTCTTGGTTCTCTGGCACTTACTTATACTTTTTTTTTCTTTTTTTGCTTTTCTAAAATTTCAAATGAAAATAATTGCAACAAATGTATCAACACCGCCGTGGTAAAAAGCAGCACAAATATGTGCATATATGGGAGTTAATTTGCTTGTTTCAAAATTTAAATAGTGATTTTTTAAAAAATTTTTTCCCACTCTTATTATTTGGCAGTGGTATTTACCACCACTGGGGTGAAAAGCAGCACATGTATATTTGCATATATATGCATATATGCTAATTTACTCTTGTTTTGAAAGTAAAGTAATGATCCTTTTTTTTTCCTCTCCCACTCTCATTATTTTAACTCATGACAAAGGTTACTCTGGTGAGTGGAATGATCTCCATGCTAGGAGGATTCTTATCTTTTCTCTACACCTAAATAGTTGTTTATGTTTGAAGAAGTAACTTAGTTTCCGTGGGCCTGTTTCCTTGTCTGTAAAATGGAGCTCAGGATGGACCAGACAGTCTCTAAGGTGCCTTTTGAGTTCTAATAGTCTATAATCCTATTTGCAAGGGAAGGCAAATTCAGGCTCACCCTGTGTGCTGCTGGGTGAGACCCACACCGATCTTTCTGTCATGGGGCAGAAATGATCCCAGGCAGCTGCAGGGCAGAGATCACCTGGGCTTCCTGACTTGATTTGAAGTATTCTTTGTACAGAACACACATCTGTGGCCTTGGACACCTTTGACTCACGGAGGTTAAACTCTGTGATTGCCCAGGCCTTGGGGTGACCCAGAGCGTGCAGCTGGGGCTAGGGCCAGGGTGTTTGACCCATCGCCCCCTGCTTGTGAGGTGGGGTGCTCTTTGCACTGGAGCTGAAGCCTGACAACCTGCATTTCCCTTTGGAAGACTGATTGACTCCTTTTCCCTTCTTTCTATGGAGGATCGCTGTCCCAAGTGTCCTGGACACTTGGACATTATATTTTTAGAGATGAGACAATTGAGATGGGAACTTCCTGAAGGGTATAAATAGCTAAGCTAGATTAAATGCACCGTCTACTCAGTGCCAAACTGCAGATAAAACTCAATTCAGTAAATATCTAAGTAGTAGCTTGTTTTGTAATTTTTTAACAGACTATTGACTTTTATATAGCACATTAAGGCTTGCAAAGCACTTTATACAGTATCTCATTTGGGCCTCTACAACCCTGTGAAGTAGGTACTATCATTAGCGTCACTTTACAGATGAGGAAACTCAGTGGGGAGGGAGGTTAAATGATTTGCTCAGGGCTATACAGCCAGCAAATATGTTAGGTGAGATTTGAACCCAGGCCTTCCTGATTCTAAGTGTGGAGATTAATACACTAAACAACACTGCCACCAACTGGACTCAAAATTTCGTTCTCTACAAAGTCTCTTTCTTGGCAAGGCTTGTTCAAGGCTTCTGGGATGGAATGAAGTGAAACAACAAACAGCTTGATCGTCTTCATAACTTTAGTCACGAGATGGCCAATTGCCCTGTGTGGAGAACAAAATGGATCATAGTTTTGGAGCCAGAAGAGCTTTTTGAGATTAACTTGTCCCGGTCCTTTCATTTTCACAGATGAGGAAAATAATGACCAGAGAGATTAATGAACTTTGACATTGTCCCACAGCCAGTAAGTAACTTCAAGGCAGGATTTTAATCCAGATCCTTAAGACAACAAATACAGTGCTATTTCTAGGATGGAGAAAACCTAATCACTCGAACTCTTGGTGGGGTAGCTAAAGAAGCTTTTCTTTGAGAAAAGAAAAAAAATCTTACATGTGACTTTGTCACTGGATGGGACTAACTACATCTTTCTTCTCTGTGCTTGCTGCAAGGATTATTAGGCCATGTTGGTAAACAGCTACACTGCTTTCCTTGAGATAAAGAGCTCATTTTCTCACTGGGAGCAACTCTTGCCTAGCCCTAGTTAAGCTG